GAGTGTTTTGTAGCAAATTCGATTGCCCGCACTAGTGCGCACTGAGCGCACACTAAGGCCCGTTCATAGTCCATTTTTATGTTTAACTTTGCCTTAAATACACGTTCAAAAAGTATTTAGCCGAAAAAGTGATACGCGTGGATGCTATACGGATCATTTTACTGGCTACGAAATATTTCCAGAGATACTTAAGACGATCCTTAGATATAAGAATTGGCTGCAAACAAGCCGTAGCGTGCACTCAGTGCGCACCAGTGCAAGCAACCGAATTCGCTATTAGAAAAACAGCGACGCCGCTCGTTAGCTCGGTGGATTTTGGAGCAGCGTCCCGTGCAAATGAGAATCGGGCGATTCTTTTTTTCCGACTGTGCGGATTGTCATTAATATTGCCGCAATGTCGAAACGTGCATTTCCAGTATCGAGTTTTTGCGTCCACGCGATACGATTTAGCGCACGCTAGATTGGTAGCCACCCACCGTCTCGTCGCAGACGCCCGAAATTTGATCGGGCATCGAGAACCGAGAGCTGCGACCGCTGAACAAAATATTCTCCGATCCTCGGGCGACAGTTTAAAAATCCGCAAGTTAAAAGTATCCAACAACGTCGGTGTTTTATTGACCGTGTCTGCCACTTTTAATCAAGTTTTTGATAATACAGAAAATTTATCGCGAAAAATATTACCTCCCTGCACTCTAGGCGGGCGTTTCACCAATTCGACCACTGAGGCATGTAAACAGTATTAAAATATAATAGCAAATGAATAATAAATAAAGCATTAAGCCTATCACACAATGCCAGGCAACAGGCAACAGGAACAGGGAATAGAATTTCTGACGCGTTGGATTGGTTGGTAGAAAATTTCTGACGAATCCAACGCGTCAAAAATTCTATTCTCTATTCCTATTGCCTGTTGCCTGGCATTGTGTGATAGGCTTTAAAAGTATCCACTTAACGCTGACGCTTCTATCTCGGCAATTCAAGCAGAAATATTCCATAACGTAGAATATCCTTCGAATTTATTGGTATAAAAAATTATCTATACGCACGGGGGAGAGAATTATCTCCCGTTGGCGAACGTACGTCGATCGCGTCTCGGGACGCTGTTAATTCCCTTGGATTATCCGGAGAGCGTATACACGGTACCGTTTGCGCCAAGTGCAATGACCAAAGGAACCTCTAAGCATTACCTAACGCCATGTGCACCTGCCAAGTTCGACATCTGGCGTGCATTACTCATCGGTAATTGCAAGCGATTGCTAGACTTTGTAGCAGACCCGAGAGACTGTGGCGGATTTATTAAACATCCCGCTAAGCGCTCGAACGGCGATTTGAAAACGTTATTAACGAATCGGACTCGCTTTCCCATCGCATTGCATTTCTACGGCGTGCCCACTGAGTCGTCGAGTATCGTCTCGACCTCTCACTCGATCCGAAATACGGATATAAATTATACTTTAATCGTCTCGCGATCGCATGCAGCTGAATCTCAGCTAACGTTAACGTGTTAATAACGGAACAAATTCGATTAAAAATAAGACAGCTAGTATATAATAAGCCTTATAATTTACGTCCGTAGATTGCGAGCAGACTCTATTTTTCACTGCGTCAGCTCTATTTTTTCACCTTCGTACACTGAGAAAAATGTCCGATTAAATCTAATCGGATAATCCTATTACATAATAACAAATGGATATATCCGATGAAAATGTATATCCGATGAAGAACATGATCGGACATATCCGATCAACAAATATCCGATTAAAATATCCGTTATTAAAAAATATAATAAATAAATGGATCTGATTAAATATGTAATATGATGTTAAAAAATTATCAGGTAAAGTATGAAACGTGGAAGAGTGAAATAAAGAGGGAAAATTGAAATTAATAAATGTTAGACGT